GGAAGTCTCTGGTATAACACAGATTTCCATGTCTCAAATCAGAATCTCAACCATGTTTTATACAAAACCTTAACATGAGAACAGCTTTAAAATGCTCAAATTATACCATCTGAAAGATTAATTTAATTAAAAAAATGTGGTGCCTTGTACCCGAAATACATTTCACAATCACCTTAGTAATTAGCTTTTCTCTACACAAAACATCACTGTTCTAACTGTAGTTGTGTAGGGACTTTCCAGGCCTGCAAGAACATTACTTTTCTTGGAATATACTGGATGAGAAAAGACACAAAGTATCAGATCTCCCCTTGGAGTGCTAGCCCAACATGCCCTCCTGCAAATTTTGGAAGATGGCGTTTGGGATAGTTTGCTGAATATTCTTAAGACAACTACTCTTCCACTATGCGAGAAAGAGGTTTTTTTCTTATCCCTAAAATGACTGTCTTCAATAAGTGGTGATTCACTGAACTAGCCCTGAAGCTGCCTTTGGAAGCTCAGTATTCAAAAACCATCTGTGCCAGCAAGTACCAGGAGAGGGCTTGATATTTAAACAAATTATACCCTCAGATATTTCAAACATATACTCTGTATTTATGTATTTTGGGATACTAGCCATAGGTCTTGATGAAAAGCCAAATTATTTCATTATTATTATTATTCTTAAATACAGAAAAATACTTGCATTTAACCTCTACACTTTAATTCCATAGTAAAAAAAGAGGGACTTTGAAATAAGCAAATTCTGCATTCAGGCCACCTTAGCACTACTCAAATATTTAACTTGTAAAGCTACCTGACCTAGTCTTGTGATGGTTAATGCTTTTCTAAAAGCTTTAACTCTTACAATTACATGAAAATATCTATCTATAAACAAAACCGATTTTTAATCCTAATTCTTAAAAGCCTTACAATTCAAGAAAAGCTTGAAAATATGAACTGAACAGATTCAAAATCCATAAGGTAAACAAAAGCAACTAAAAAACTTATTATTTTTATTCTGACATTAGAGGTGCTTAAGGATACTAACTAAAGAGCTTAAATGGTTGCTGTCTTCCCTTTCCTGTGTATGTCATCCACTGCCCTACCTTTGCCATCTACTGCTGTGTACCAACACAGGCATTAACAGGACCCACACAGCAAATGAAAATTAGGCAGTACTGCTGCTAAATGCATAACATGGTTCAGGATTGTTAGATACCTAACTTGATAATCATGCATTAAATTCCAAAAAGCAGTAGCATTTAAAGATATTTTCCAATAATTTTATCTAGTATCATTAAATAAATTAAAACACCTACAAAATTCTGCAAATGCAGTATTTTCAACTCTGCAAGGCAGAGAAGCTGAATTCTTCCAAAGGTATCTCATTTCTCTTTACCCCTTCTCTTTCACTCTTGATCTAAACTGCATTATAATAATAAGCAGGCTGAATTACTAATGAGCTGCCGGCTGCTACAGAGGAAGCTATGTTCCTAGCAGATTATCTAAAATATGAGAAGACAAGAAAGGTACTAAAAAGAAAGCGGATGAAGAGCAGGTGATCTCAAGTTTGCTGTCTGCCTCGTAAGTTCCTTTTCCAGTGCTCACTGGGCTCTAGGCCAAACTACTTCAGCAAGCTAAGCAGAAACTATTCAATTCTTATTGTTGTTAGGTTAGTTTTCTGCCAATTTATCAAATGGAAACGGTTAGCACAGGGTACAGCAAGAGCCAGAGCCAATGAAAGGGAAGGGGCAGGAATGCACTACTAGGGATTGGGATAGAGATCACAGTCAGATTAGCTCAGGCTACTGTGTAATCACAGTCTGAAACTAGTTACACATTTGGTGGCAGTGTTATTTGAGGACGTCTAGCCCCTGCTCATCCACTTTTTTATAAAAACCTTTTTCCCATTTTTTTGAAAGGAATTTTTTATATGGCTGCATGGAGAAGCAAATCAAAGAACATAGATGATGTAAAAATAACCTCACTCCAAAACTGCTATTTTTCCATCTCCCCAAGCAATCAAAAAACCCAGCCGTACTAGTACAATAGAGGCAAATGATGGGTCTGGCCTTGATAACTTAAGTTAATCCTGCCACCTGAAAAAAAAAAAAATCTATTTGGCTATGGCTTGAAAACAAGCAAAGAAGTCCAAATGAGCCCTGGCAATGTGAGACAGAGAACAAGTTTAAAGAAAACACTCTTGAACAAAGTGCTGGTGGAGAAATACTTGCAGTTACGAGCACAAGCTTTTTCACATTTATAAAAGCTGTGTAAGAGCTGTTTCTCAGTATACAACAAACAGTACTCAGAAACACTAAGCTTTTCCACCAACTTTTTCTCTCAAGCAAAATAACTGTCACTGCTGCCTAAACTGACCTCCTGCTCAGATCAAAAGGGTATTATTAAAAAGATTCAATTTCCAAAGAGAAATTGTGAGCTAGTATTTCTGTTGAACCAAGAAGTTGGACTGCAATCCAACACTTCTCATTGAAAAAAAGAGCCAATGCAACTAAGTAAAATATCAAACAACAGATAGTTCAGAAAAGGAAAAAATGTAACATGAAGGGGTGGGATGATTTGTAAATGGTATCTCTTTGAATCAGCAAGCACACTGTGTCCCAGCTGCAACAAAAGCACACGTGTATGTCAAAAAGGATTAATGATCAGACCAGCAACTTTAAGGACAAAATCTGGATGTTTTGACCAAAAAAAAAAAAAAAAAAAAAGAGGCAGGCCAAGAAAGCTCTTGCCAAGTCAGACCTTGCAAACAGAGATTATCAGTAGCAAGACTTAAGAAGCTTAGAAATTGCTTAGAGAAATCAGAGGGTCGTAGACATAGTGGAAGTCAGACATCTGAAGGTGGAACTGGGCTAAGTGGATGTCTGTAAAACAGGACACGGTCTTATTACATTTTTCTATGTTGTTTATAGTCTCCAGAAATCCAAAGAAGAGAAATCAGATAGTCTTAGACAAACAGTGCAAATTTCCAGTACCTTTTTAGAGTGAAACATTTTTGAGGAGTTGAGTTTATTTCTGCATAGCAGCCCTAATAAGTAGGTCAGAAGAATAACAGAAAGAGGGAGTTTGTAGCAGCCAACTTGCATGACACAGCTTCTACAATATTTTAGATCCTATCCCCAGAAAAGGCACTGAATACTCCAGATACAGTATCCAAGTCCTTGAAATCAGCTTGCAGCCAGGCACCAATGTCAGTTGGCCAGGATGGTTAGAAGCTAGGAGGAGAGGGATGGGAACAACCCAGTCTGAACTGGCAAAACAGCCACACAATTCATGACTCCAGGAAATCCACGTATCGGCAAAAACTTCAAGGATAATTTGTCAATTGAGTAACATAGAAGTTCAGCAAAATTGGGGCTAGGGGAGCAATAAAAGGAAGCAAAAAATCTCCAGAAGTCTTTGGAATTTGCAACAGACCTTTATCTTTCTTTGAAGCACTGTACCAGGAGAGTATGGAGCTTCTAGAGAGAAGGGGAAGCTGTTCGCCATAACCCATTCAGGCATATAGCTCTGAATAAAATGTTTCACTGAAGGTGACCACAATTTGGTTCATCAAATTATAAAAGCTTAAAAAAGGATAATTTTTTTAAAAAGGGGCAATAGACAAAAATTAAATTCCGATACTTAGGAGAAAATATTCCTTTGGTCAAGTAAAGACAAGCGGGCAATGTACATTTGTTAAATTCTGAAGGGATCCATGTATTATTAGAAGGTTCAGATTATTTCTAAATTAATTTTGTGTGAAAGCCAAAGCTATTGCTATCCAGTTGAGCTTCTAATGAAAGTTTCTTTTGGCCTGTTGTTGCGGGATTTCTTACAGGAGCATATGGAGGAGAACAGAATTCTTTACCGAATGTAAGACAAGGAGGGAGACTGAAAGGAAGGGAATGTATCAGGACAACACAAAGCCCGGGAAGCTCCCTCAGTCTGAAACTAATTTGACCAGAAAACAGGAGCATCTCCTACATATCTGAAGTCACAAGTCAACTTTAGAACATAAACAAGATCTACTTCTATTCCTAGCTCAGCTAATTCCTTAGCACTAATCTTAGCACATGAAAAGAGAGAGAAGTCAGATAAAAGCTATCCAAAATGGGAAACAAAAAGGCCTTTGGAAATGCCTGGCATTTAGACAGTCAAATGTCTGAGCCAAAACTGTTAGTCAGTTATTCAAAACAAAACGTTTGCATTTTCCTCACAACAGACATATAACAGGGAGAATTACTTTGACTCCTATTGTGTAGGCATATTTAGCAGAAACAAAAGAAGCCCAACTATAGCTGTACTAAACAACACGGTACTCTTTACAGAGTTATCCAAGGTAATGCAACCATGTTACCGTACCTCTCCACCTTGGTTAATATATATCACGCTTTTGATGATTTTGTATTCCATCATGTAGTATAGCTATTTCTCCATTTAAGATAACAGGAGAATCATGCTAACGAATCCGATTCAACTTCTAGAACACAGTATTCTTATTAAAATTACATACAATTTAGCATTATTACAAACTCATCTTTGCAGTTGCATGGGACAACCAGCCATTCTGTAAAAAGTTTTGACACATATTTGTCACAAAACCACACTTACTGGTATTACTACAAACTCTTGGTCCAAACTGTAAGCAAGACTACAGTCATGTTTTTCCAGATATTTCATGCCCTACTCTTTTTTTCTGTTTTCCTCTGGATTATGAAGAGGAGAAAACAAGTATAAAGGCAGTGAACAGTTTAAGGGACAGACCTATACTTGACTTTCAACTTATTTTTAAAATATCCTTTCATTATCTGTTGAAAGTTAACACTTGAAAATACAACTAAGAGATGTCATTTTAACTGTGGCAAGACAAACTGGACCCACAGCCTTTCTAATTTAGTAATTTGCATCACCTTTTCCAAGTTACACAGTTCAGTGAAAATACTGGCATACAGCATCTCTAGTTATTCCTACTAGGTTTTGAAATAATAATTTCTCTTATTCTGTGTATAGACATATACCTCTCCTCCTATGGTAAGCAGTCCAGGTGAATCAAGCTTCCGTTTCTTCCGGGGACCAATAGCTGCCAATGCAGTTAGATTGGCATCCCTCTGCCTCATTTGTGCAAGTTCTTGCTGCTGCATCTATTAGAGGAAGAAAAAACTCTTTAGTTTTTATTCTGCTGTCATTTCAAAAAGTTACTCTCAGACTTGCGAGCATGAGGTAAAAGTCACACATGAGCAATCTCTAAGTACTTTGCTGTTCCTAGAAATACCATTTTAGCAGCTCAAGCATGCAGCCTTGCAGTAGAGTAACAATGAAGATATGGAAGTTCTCTTGACTTTCGACAGGATTTCTGCTTCCAAATAACTCAACTGTTTTTGAAAACTCCATCCTTATCCTTGAAAAATGCCTTAGCCAGTAAGTACTATATACTAACTACACATCTCCAGTTTAAGATTGATATGAAGAGTATAAATACCAACTCAAATCCTCAAAAAACCATCTCAAACATTTTCTTTCATCGCAGATTTACTTGGGGTATTAAAATATACTTGGTATTTGCTTCTGTATCTAAATTAATAAAACACCCCTATCTAAACATTAGCAGAAGTTAATGCTGACGCAAAAAACCCTACAAAATGAATTTACAACTGCTTTCTGGGATAAGAATTTAGGTAACAACACATTTGACCAGTTTGAGGCTAAGCAGCCAACCTGCCAGTTGCATTACATAACAACATAGCATGCTACAGAAAATAAGAGAAAATACTCTGGCCACCCCATGATGAAAAGGTAAGATTGCATATTCATTATAAACTGTATAATCCTTCAGAGAGTTAATGATAAGAGACATATTCCCATGAACAATATTACTTTAATAAATACTCTGATCATCAATACTACACAAGAATAGCTGATTAGGTAATGCAGCATATGATTTTAATTAGATAAAAGCACTCATAGCTCTTAGTAATCATTAATTTCAAAACTTTGGGTTTGCAAAATCCTTCAATAAATTCAGAGGAGGTGTTTGTTTTCTGATCCCATTGATGTCATAATTGTTCCCACCTCAACAGAAATCCACAGAACACTACCTCAAGAAATCCAGTAGTAGTAATAAAAACATTGTATGATACAGGCACAATTCTTCACTAAAATAAAACTGAACTGACAAGTGTAGATAGAAGCGTCTCAGCCATTACTTACATGTGAGCTGCATAGACAAGCAGGGCCTGAACTATCTTGGCCAATGTTGAAAGGAAAGGAGGTTTAAACAAAAAAGTACCAATGTATGGTATCTTTTTTCCATTCATTTCTGCCTAGAAAAGCAGGTCCACTTCATACATCCTATTTAGTGCATTTTTTCATGTTTACTCATTTAGCAATGCGACATTATTTTCACATTCTTCAGAGAAATTCAGTACATTTAGAGTTTGAAAAGCCATTTTTCACATTTTTATGCTATATATTTTGGAACTTCAGTTACTATCATAACTTCAATATAGCATTATATACAAACACACATCTCATTTATCTACAGGATAAAAGAATTTCCTAAATACAAAAAAGAAATGTGGAAAAATATCTAAATAATAGTGCAAAGGTCTATACATACTTCTCTTTGCCAATTCATATTAGGTTTTTAGCTCAAATATCTTTGGCTCTCTTCCAGATTAAATGCCAGTTAGACAGACCTGCCCGCTTACCCTTTCAAGGTAGATAGCAACAGTGGTGAGCTCTAATCATTTACAAAGGTCATGATCGGAAGCTAGCCCGTAAGCAGTCATTTAAAATTCAATTGATCCCTATTTGTAGTCAGGGAAAGAAAATGGACATTTCAGCTGTATTGTAATTATGAGGCTTCAAGGCAACTGTAAATAGATGTGCAAATCCAGATACTGGCAAATACCTTAGAGAAGAAATTATTACTATAGTATAACATATATCCAGGAAAGGTTGAAGATAAAACTGCATATAAAAAAAGATCAATCATCTTTTTGCTAATTTGCCATGCTTGCCAGCCTATAAGGGTTATCACAATTATCAGAAGTCTGATGAATATTTAAGCGAGGGCCAACTGGCTTACAGTGATCTCAGACGAAGTTGTAAAGTGGATGGCTTCACAGAATAAGAAATTTTGCACTGGAGTAAGTATTTGTTTCCTGGGAGGTGCAGGTCAGAAATATAGTCTAGTAGGTAACTGGTATCATGCAAAGGTTATTATATGATTATCTTATCCAGAGTCACCATTTTCAGACCAACAGTACGCTAATACTGACTTGGCTCTTTGGACTACCTCTACTGCGATATACAGTGATTGTTTCAACATGTAATATAAGCACACAGTGCCTCTGAAAAGTTGTTCTAAGAACTATAATTTAGTATTGTTTTATTTTTGCACATGCAAATTGTAAAACAAAACATGCCGTTTCTCTAAATTCCACATAGTGGGGGACAAATCCTACCCTCACTTCGAAACCTGCAAAGTGTCTGGTGCTGTTTTACAAAGAAAACATGGAATAGATTCAAGAGTCTGCGGAAGTTTGTACTCGTTTATTCATCAGGTTCTTTGTCCCTTCTTTTTGATTCAGGGAGAAGAGCTAAAGATAGTTCTTTATATCACATACTAATTTTTGACAAATGTGTTGGCCTAGCACTGATTGTCCAAACAAATGCACGAGATTTTCAGCTCCCTGTAATTTAGCACATGACAGGAAACCTGCCTCAGCAGACAGAGCCAAAGGAGCTGGGCTCTGTTCTACTGACACTGGGTGAATACCAGCAAGACCTTTCCCTTCACTTCCCTGTGCCTCTCACCCCGCTTCACCCAGCTTGTCTATTGAGGCTATAAGGTCTCCAGCCATGGATCCTCCTCTACTACATGCCTTACTTATGATCTAGCCCCAGTGGGACTAACAGATACTGCTTTAATACAAATAAGGAATATGCTGCCAGGTACAAAAACTCCAAACAAAAAACCAATACAATTTCTGACATTGGTTTTACAGCACACACCTTGGCATACAATAGGAATGAACAACCTTCTTATGTAAACCTTAATGAATGTTGGTCAAAAAATATCAAATACATCAAACACACATGCATCATCAGTAAGGTCACAGTATCCTGATGTTTTATAAAATAAGGGCTGAAGTGCTGAAATACTTGATGGATACTATGTTGCACAAATTCTCATCAATCTTTTAAAAATTAATTCAGTGATTTTTTTTTTTTCCCAAAGCTCATCTGAAGGCAGAGTATCATAAAATTACATTTTAAAATAATCAAAAGAATAATGATCTTGATACTGATTACCAACAGAAGCCTTCATCTTGCAGTGGTTAATGTACTCCAGGTGGCTTAAGGGAACATCTCTGCACACTCACTATTAACTATCAATTTGCTTACAATAAAACATCTTTGTAGTTTATGGATACTTACTAGTGAGACATTTGACAAGATTCCTGGATGTTATTTAACATCCCAGAGCAGACTAACCACCATTGTTGGCTTCTTCATACCCCCAATTCCAACTTTCTCTTCTTTCCATCTCAAAGTCACATACTTCTGTTTTTTTCATAACCTACATCAGATTATCTGTGCCAGTCTCTTTCCTACTCATCATCTGACTCTTCATCAAAAATATTATCCTCAACTGTAATCTTTGGGGTTAAAAAAAAAAAAAAAAAAAAAGCGGTATCTTGGCTTCAGTTCAGAAGAAGGGGACACTGCCTTTCATGAAGACATTTACACATGCAATGTGACTGCTAACATCCGATTCAACAGGAGCTTTTCAAAATTAATGCCATGGAAATATGAGCTATTTTTAATAGTCATAAAACCTGATATGGTTATTGCAGGTATCTTGCAAGAAGTTTAGGAATAGCCAAACAGTTTTGTGGGAGTTGTGTAATTAACGTAGATTTAATTACTCTAATTTGGTGCGAACAGAGATTACTTTTAAAACATACCTCTTGTACAACCAGATGCCAAATGCATGACTCTGACCAGTGGAAGCTCTCCTCCCCAGCATACTCTGGAACCGTATTCTCTACATCAAGTGGAAATGACTTTGCAACTAGCTTTGCGTACATAGTTCCAAAGTAATCACCCTCTGAATTCTCAGCGCTAAGAATAGCGTGAATTAAATGTAGCCATCTTCAATGTTCTGAAATTACTCTTAAAAGTACCTGAGAAACTAAAGCTACTTCAGCTTCTTACTTTACGTGATCAGTTATGTTTTAAAGTTGCAAAGGAGCCTGTTACTACAATATAGTTTATCTTCTAACTAAGCCAGTTAATAATTTCTGGATATTTAAACAAATGAAGCACCTGTTAATATCTATACATCCTGATAAAATAAATAAATTTCCTGTTAATTAACATGATTTAGCAGAAATGAATCTAACTTACTACATCAACCAACAAGATACAACCGTTTGATAATTGCATTCATTCACAGTCTCATTTTCCTATTGGACTGCTGATGCAGTATCATTCTTTAACTTGCCTTCATCACAATTAATATGGATATGTCTATCAATAGCATATTAAAAATTTTTGCCCTCTGGGAAGGAAGCAATACTTCATTCAGAACCACACTAATCAACAACAATTAACTTTTTTGAAAGTCAAAATATTTATCTAAAATATAGACAAATATTCCAATATAGTATTCAAGAAAAAATGCTTACAAATGAGATGCTGCTCCTTGCTCCTTATCTGATCCCAATTTATTTCTAGCATGCCATTTACTTACTGAGAGGTATTTCATTACTTAATGACAACTTGAAGAGATCCCTTTGATGAAAAGTACAGTATAAGAATTAAGCACCAATATTATTTCACACAAGGAAATTTTCTTCTTTGTGATGGTGGCATAACATTACAACTACAAAAAGAACACTACTTCACTACTTTATTAGTAAAGCTAACAACAGAGGTTCTAAAATTTTAGTTTTCCTTAGATCATTATTTGTTATGATACATTTAGGTATTTCAGAAAGAAGTGCCACAAGCCATATGCCACAAGGAAGACAGCCATATGTCTATCTGAAGTATCAACATTAGAACTTAAAATCTCAATTTAGTAATTTCCAAAACGAAGAACGCACTTATTCATGGCATGCTTTGTAAATAA